ATCAGAGAAGGGGCCAAAATCTAAAATCCAGCCTAAGTCGTGGGCCGAATGGTTTACTGAACAGTCATAAACTGTCATTGTGATGGAAACGCAGTGGAGTGCAGTGATGACAGCGCGGTGTGGGCCACATTGCAAGGCCTGGCGGGACGGATTTGGCCCGCGGGCCTTGTGTTTGACACATGTGATTTAACTAATATGTATTTAGTGTCTATAATATGCTTGTTAGAGTGTTATGCTATGGGAAGCAGTTGAGCAAAAAAACACACCAAGAAATATCCAGTTTAAAGGTATACACATTTTAGTTGAACACATTATAAATTAATAGTATAAGCCATTATGATTGAGGTACACTGTGGACACTGTGTGTGCAGAGTGGACACTGAAGTTGGCCAGAGGCCTGGAGTATTGGCAGCAGGGTGGGAGGGTCTCTGAAGACGGAAGCATGAACGGAGTCATAACTGAGATGAGTAGGACCTTCTCAGGTGGGCCAGCTTGGGAGCATGTGCAGGAGGAAATGAGAAATAACATCAGACAAGGAGGACGATTGGCCTCCCAGGCAAAAGGAAGAGCTGTGGGGAGTCGTAAAAGTGTCCTATTGATGCAACTGTAAGTAATTCCTGTGGCTGATGCCCAGGTACGTGAAGGAGGGCAGTGGCGTGGAATGGTTGTTACGGGGCAATGAGCACCAACTTTCCCATGGGCAACGCTGATGGCCTACACATAGAGGAGGGACACAATGAGCTTTCTGCTTAGTTTCTCCCAAAGATACGCTGCTGGGGGCAGAGGCATATGATGGAGGGGGTGGGGGACTTGAAGCAGAGAGACCTGTAGGTCCCCATGCAGCTGTCAAGCAGGTAGGAGATGGGGGCTTCTGGGAGGGTCTCAGGCCTGGGGGAGGATCACCAGCAAGGCCTTGTTTCTAGAGACTAGCATTTGGGAAAGACCTCTCTGTCATGTCGTGCTTTTTGAAGTGCTATGGACTTTCTTGTTTATGTGAACATCAGCTTCAAGATTGTCCTTCAGAAGTGTTGGAACAGAGTCGTGGCAGTAAGGGGTTTACCCAGAGCCAAGCAGCAAATTAGTAGGGATATTGGTTGGTGAAGCTATATTTGCCCCAGAAAAGAGAAAACTTTCCATGAAACATACGCCCAGGAACAAATGATTGTATAATTGAGATGCACAAGCCAAAGGTTGTGGGGGAGTTGGGAATGAATAATGCCTCCGATTTCTTTCACGTGGCCCTTTGAGTCACACCAACAGCTTGATATGGGAAAGCAAGGCTTGGCTCAGCTCCCTCTTCTTGACCCCCACGTAAGAGCTCCTCTTCTCTGCATCCCTGTGTCTTTCTGTTGTTTGTACCACACATTTGGCACTTGAAGTGCTTTGTATTTTTAGTCACTTTTCCAGAATTCATGCTGGCTCACGATTTGGCAGTTTGTTCATTGGGTGGTGTCTTTAAAGGACATCAAGTTCACTTTTTTTTTTCTTTTTTTTTGCCTGGCTACCAAATTGTTTGTCACTTGTTGGCAGAAACAAGGACCAGTTGTACCTGACTTCCTATCTTAACAACACAAATCATTTCACAGTCTGGCCTTGACCTGTTCTCTCTCATTCTCTTTTTATTTTATAAGCATGATTTAAAAAATGTTTTTCTTGATTTCTGACAAAGGAAAAGAGAGGTAGAGAGAGAGAGAAATATCTATGATGAGAACCATTGATCAGCTGCCTCCTGCACACTAGGGATCCAGCTGGCAATCGGGGCATGTGTCCTGGCCAGGAACTGAACCGTGATCTCCGGGTTCCTGGGTGGATGCTCAACCACTGACCCACACAGGTGGAGCGTGGCCTGTTCTCTTCACTACCCATGTGCACCCGATTTCAGCCACAGAGACTTCTTTCTTTCTCTCCAGCTCTGAGGATGTGTCGTTTGTAACTCCTTACTTTGCCTCACTCCCCCTGACCCCCTCACCTGGAGCGCCCCCTTTCCTTGGTGTTTCCTCTCCCTCACCCTTTTCTCTGCCCTGAAAACTCATTATTATGTCTGCCCATGCCCTAGCTTCTGGAAAGGTTACTTAAACTTAAGTGACACCCAATTACCTGGTTCGTAATAACCACACAGGTCTTTTCTTCTCTGAGTACCATGTCCCTGCCCCTTCTCCCTGCCCCTACCTCTAATGCTAGTTTGATTTATTTTCTCATCTCCCTTTTCTCTTTTCCTGCTCCCCATTACCCACATCACATCTTTTTCGTTTTTGTATCTCCAAACAAAACCTCTGGTGCACACAGTTTAATGGATCAGAATGATATGAGTAAAGCTAGGAATCAACAAATAAAAATATAGTGATGGTTTCTACTCTATCTTTGCCTCTAAAGATATAAAGTAAGTATTGAAGTAAAAAAAAAAAAAAAAATTCAGACTTTAAAAAACACCACCGCAAAGAGCAGGGCTTGTCCTCCTCCTCTTCCTCACTAGACATTGAGTTCCCATAAAACCAAGAGCGTGTCTTACACTTTTATCACCCTCACTGTTGAACGTGGTGTCCCACACTTAGGTACAGAATGTACTTTATATTGCTTGTAATAATTGCTTTCCTTCAGCAGAGGGAGTTGCACATGGCGGCCAGAGTTTAATCCCAGGTGCATTTTATTCTGGAGAAGCATGACCAGTGTCAGATGGAAACAATCAGCAGTTGACCCATATTTGAAGAAAGAGGCGTGACTAAGTCCCAGGCATAATCAATTAGATGGTCTTTCTTTTTAAACTCAATTCCTTTTGTTTAAACATGGGGGCTTTTAATAAAGTTAAAATATGGTAAATATACACATAAGGGGAAACCTCAGCTTTATAAAGTGAAATTCATTGTTGGGTATCACTTTTAAAAATCTTGCCATACTTTTTTCTTTTGCATTTAAAGAGTAGGAAAATCCAGCTGGTGTTACTGTTCACAATCACATAACCCTTTCCAAACTAGTCAGGCAAATTACCCCAAATAGCTGGCTGTTATGCTAGATTTAAAAAAAAAAAAAAAAAAAAAATTTTAGAAAAATTGAGAGATGGGGAAGGGCATATCTCTTATGTTTCCTATAAACTATTGTGGTCCTTGAAAAGTTATAAATTATCTTGCAGGCCCATATCCAGGGGTATTGTATGGGGTGTCTGTGAGTAATGAAAAGAATTAGACTTTTTGTTTGAATGATTCCTGGGATCCTTACAAGAGAAGTAGGTAGGGCCTTAAAGGTGAGCTGGCTCCAGTCGTCTTACCTGAGCAAGGGTTTATGCCTAATATCAGCTCTTTATAATTTACCAGGAAAGGTTTTTAATCCAGGGACTGAAATTTTACAGTGCAGTTATGCAGTGTGGAAAAATTAATTAGAAAATAGTATCAACTAGAAATTTATTTTTACATAATTAGAATACATTATTTTTCAAATAAACTTAGTTGGACTTGTGAAGTTTAAGGGGAAAAAATCTATAATAGTATTTCTTTAACAGAGGCTCTTTATCTTAGCTAATGTTTTGTGTAAACAATTTGTATTCATATGGAATTTATAAGAATGGATACTCTTTCTTAAATAAATTTCTTTGATATATGAAAAGGAAATTGAAGCTATTCAGGTGGCTTGTATGAACTAGAAAAACTTAGTCATATTTTAGAAAAACTTAATCCTTTATTTTATAACTGGAAGTTTGTACCTCTTTCCCCCTTCACCTTTTTCATCCATCCACCTGCCTACCTTTTCTCTGGCAACCATCAAGTTGTTCTCTGTATCTCTGAGTCTTTCTGTTTTGACTTCTGGAGTCCACTTATAATTGAAATCATATGGTATTTGTCTTTCTCTATCTGGCTTATTTATTTAGCATAAAATACCCTGTAGATCCATCTATGTTGTTGCAAATGATAAGGTGTCTTTTAAATCGCTGCTTTATTGCTGTGCCCAGATCAGGTGAATCTGCCATGTTGGCCCCTCAGCGACATCTCTTCCTACTGCAGATCACCTCTCTGGTAGTGTTCCCATGGTGATCACGTCTCTGTCTCTCCTACTCTTTGTGGCTCCTCTCTTGTTGGTTGTGCAGAAGCTGATTAATCAGCCCTCGGTTGTTGTTCTTTAGGAATGGCTCTATGTGTAGGTGTATGTTGGGTGTGTCCCTCGGATAAGGTGAATTTGGGGGTCTTCCTATGCAACTGTCTCAGATCCCCCAGCCCCAAATGATAAAGTAAAACATTTTTCTATTTGTGGAATTACTCCCTCTTCTGAAAAATAAGCAGTTGGTGTAATTTTGCTGAAATTAACCACTTTCATATTTGGGAATAAGGGAAGAGTTTATCCTTTTCAGTCATTCTTGTTTTTCTCAAATGACTATCCTCTATATTTTGTTCTCCAATATGAGAGTAAATAATTGAGCCATCAGTAAGCTATATCTGGCAGTTAGCATGTATTCAGTCCATGTACAATGAATGAATAAGGAAATTTATAATTTGTATTAATTACCTGTATCCTCTCATTAGGAAGAATTATTTTATAGCAAGGACTTTTTTCCTAATCATACTAAAAATGTGTATTTTGATAATGCTCTTGGATTATTTGCCTGTAGCTCTAGTTTGTGGATAACTTTTTATTCCTATTATGGTCTGAAACGACTACTAGATTCATGTCAAAAGATGTCGTGTCTTTTTTTGATCACCAAAGGAATTTTTGTCTTGGATCTTACAGAGATGTTTATATACACTCTGGGAGCATTCTGTTAATTGTAATTACATGAGACGTAGTCACAGTTTCTTGTAACAATTATTTTTCCTCCAGTTTCTCTGCAGGACATCTACTTATTGCCTTGTTTCCCACTTATTTTAAGACCTACCTATAGCTTTCAGAATCATCTTGAAGTGTGAGAAAGGTGATGAGGAGGGTGATCAGTACTTTTCCTGTCAAATTATAATAAAAACCCCGAGGAAACCTCTACCCTCTTGCTAAGCCAACACAATTCTTGTCCATGTGTGCAGGTATTGTGGAAGATTACAAGCCACCATTCTATGACGTGGTTCCCAATGACCCAAGTTTTGAAGATATGAGGAAGGTGGTCTGTGTGGATCAACAGAGGCCAAACATACCCAACAGATGGTTCTCAGATCCGGTAAGAACCACCTTCTTAGTTTTACAGCTGTCCTCAGCTGTTGGCTTGCTCTTGTGTTTCATTTGGTATGGCTCTTAAGTGATCTGCCTCAGTTACCTATTGCTTTCTCTCCCTATTTTATGCAGAAGGCCTTAGATCTAGTTAGGTAGGTACAGAAAATTGTCTCTTTCTTGAAAGAGCCACAGCTGATCTAGTTAGGTAGATCTTGCTAACGACTGACAGTATTCACAAAAATTCCTATTACTGGGAGTCTCATTATTAAACCACTGGCCCTAGGACTGGGGTTTTATGTGTAAAAGAAGACACTGAGTGATGCTTTTAACTGTTTTGCTTTTTCCATCTCTGCATATCTGAAATTGCAAACATGTTGTTCAATGCTGAAAGACCTTATTTCTGCTCTTTAGTAGCAAATCTAAGACATTGAGAAATCACCCTTTCTGCACATTTCAGTTTTAACTCTGGGTTGGTATTGCCATTTGTAGCACCCATAAAACCATCAAGGGATTTGACCTGACCATGTAATTGACTTGATGAAGTCATTGGGTAGTCTAGGTGTCCAAAGGACAGATGCCATGCAATTCAAGTGGGGCTTCTGTATTAGTCGTCAAGGCCTCAATGATTGGCTTAAGAAAGATGGCAATGACACCACTTTAATTTCACGAGACCTAGAGCTCTGCAGCACAGCTAACACATCTACCGAGCTTCTTCATCCCTCCCAAAAACCACCTTTTCACTGTGGTGTTTGCTCCTTCTCTCTGCAGACATTAACTTCTCTGGCCAAGCTGATGAAAGAGTGCTGGTATCAAAACCCGTCCGCAAGACTCACAGCTCTGCGTATCAAAAAGACTTTGACCAAAATTGATAATTCCCTAGACAAATTGAAAACTGACTGTTGACATTTTCATGGTGTCAAGAAGGAAGATTTGACGTCGTCGTCATTGTCCAGCTGGGACCTAATGCTGGCCTGACTGGTTGTCAGACAGAATCCATCTGTCTCCCTCCCCAGATGGCTGCTTCCACAAGGCAGGCATCTCACCCAGCCATGTGTCAGGGAGACACCAAAACCACCCTAACCTCGCTCAATGACTGTGAACTGGGCATTTCACAACTGTTCACACCGCAGAGACTGATGTTGGACAGACACTATTGCAAAGGTAGGGAACTGGAGGAACACAGAGAAATCCTAAGAGAGATCTGGGCATTAAGACAGTGGCTTTGCATATCTTTCACGAGTCTCCTAGACACTCCCCACGGGAAATTCAAGGAGGTGGTGAATTTTTAATCAGCAATATTGCCTGTGCTTCTCTTCTTTATTGCACTAGGAATTCTTTGCATTCCTTACTTGCACTGTTACTCTTAATTTTAAAGACCCAACTTGCCAAAACATTGGCTGCATACTCCATTGGTCTGTCTTTGGATAATAGGAATTCAATTTGGCAAAACAAAATATAATGTCAGACTTTGCTGCATTTTACACATGTGCTGATGTTTACAATGATGCTGAACATTAGGAATTGTTTATACACAACTTTGCAAATTATTTATTATTTGTGCACATAGCAGTTTTTACAAAACTGCTCTGTGCATATGTTAAAGCTTATTTTTATGTGGTCTTATGATTTTATTACCGAAATGTTTTTAACACTATAATCTGAAATGGACATTTTCTTTTATCCTCAGTTAAATTCACATTTTAAGTGCTTCACATTTGTATGTGTGTAGACTGTAACTTTTTTTTTTTTTCAGTTCATATGCAGAACGTATTTAGCCATTACCCATGTGACACCACTGAATATATTACTGATTTAGAAGCAAAGATTTCAGTAGAATTTTAGTCCTGAACGCTGTGGGGAAAATGCATTTTCTTCGGAATTATCCATTATGTGCATTTAAACTCTGCCAGAAAAAAAAAATAACTATTTTGTTTTAATCTACTTTTTGTATTTAGTAGTTATTTGTATAAATTAAATAAAATGTTTTCAAGTCAAGAAGTGAATTATATTCAGTGTATAAAAAAGATCTTGATAATGTACCACATTTTCTTATGGGAACAATAGAAAATCATCATAAACCGAATTTGCTTTTCAAGTCTAGTAATGAACTTGAGGGGTTCTATGAGGATGTTTCCAGCTAGAATTTGGTATCAGATAATCTGAATTTTGTTTGTTTCTTTTTTTGGCTGTGATTTTTTTTTTTTCTTGGTTAAAAAATGACTGGTATGCCTTCCTAACAATATGATTGTGAGTAGAAATGGGAGGGAGGATGTGAAAGCATTTTACTTAGTATGTGGCCATTTGCGAGTGGAAAGCAGTCTTACCCATCTCACCATATGCTTGAGGAGAGTCCATTGTTGGCTTTTTTCACTTAACTCTGTTCAACGAGATTGAAAAGATTGGGTTCAGAGTATCCCCAAAGGGGAAGAAGTTTGAAGATTCTGAAAAGTTCACCAGAGGTAAGTTAACAATACATTTACCTGTATTATTATCCTATATAATAAAACTCTAATAATCAAATTGACCCAATGGTGGAATGACTGGTCGCTATGACTTGCACTGACCACCAATGGGCAGATGCTCAATGCAAGAGCTGGCCCTTGGTGGTCAGTGCGCCTGTGGGAGTGCTGCTCAGCCAGAAGCCGGGCTCATAGTTCGCGAGCACATTGGTAGTGAGAGCCCCAGACTGCGAGAGGGATGTCTGTCTGCCAGCTTAGGCCCGATCCCCAGCAGGCAGACAGCCTCCAAGGTTGCATATGTTAAAGCTTATGGGCTAAGGGACCCCCCACTCCCCATAAGCCCCCCAGTGCACTTATGTTGTACACCAGGCCTCTAGTGTATTTAAAAATTTGTGGTAAAATACAGATATAAAATTTATCATCATAATCATTTAGATGCACAACTTGAGGGTTGTGCTGCCATCTCACTATCCATCCCCAGAACTCTTCATCTTGCAAAACTTAAGCTGTACTGGTTAAACAATAGGTCCCTGTTCCTCGGTCTCTGGTAACTCTCAATCTATTTTCTGTCTCTATGAATTTACTCTAAATACTTCATTTGAGTAGAATCATACAGTATTTGTCCCTTCATGGGAGACTAGCTTTTTCACTTAGCATAATGTCTCCACGGTTCATTCTTATTGTAGCATCTATTAGAATTTACTTCCTTTTTATGGCTGATAATATTCCATTTGTATGTCTATACAACATTTTGTTTATCCACTCATCTGTTGATGGACAGTTGGGTTTCTTCCACTTTTTTAACTCTTGTGAATAATGCTGCCATGAACACTGAGTGTATAAATATTTCTTTGAGTTCTTGCTGTCAATTCTTTTGGCTGTATACCCAAAAGTAGGATGAAGTCGCATTCGCATTTAACTTTCATTGAAGTATTACATATGTAAGAGTATACATATATAGAAATGTACAGCTTGATGCATTTTTATCAATTTTACAAATTGGTTGCACCCAGATCAAGTGGCAGAACATTAGCTTTCTAGAGTGTCAGCCTCATGGCAGCATGAGTCATTCCTTGTTTCTCTCCTTTTTGATTTATAAGTAACTGGACATCCATTACAGAACAAAAATGCTTCTACACATTACACCGGGACTTCTGGCAACTTTTACCCATCCATGCACCTGAATATGGATCCAAAGGATTTGGCGAGCCTACCCAACACCCACGTGCCATGATTGGGAAAAGGGGAACCTGGAGAATGCCAAAGTAGGCAGATAGTCAGGCGAGAGAAATTTTGTAGAGATCTACCAACCTGGCGGGAGAGTCCAGCATGCCCTAGGAGGGAAATGGAAATTAGCCTGGAGGTGGGGGAGCTCACTGAGTTGCCCTCCCTCCCCAAAGAGACATTGCAAAGCACAGCATCCACCTCTCTGCCATCGGGAGGTGGAGAGTGAAAGTAGTGAGAGAGAGACTGCTTGGCTGCATGGATTGTAGCTGGAGGGACCTGTTTTTCTTTAGCAATCCCTAAATTACTGAGGAGGGCTCTTGGGGCGGAGGGGACAGGGGGCAGGTGAAGGAAGATTTGGGACGTTAGCAGGAGGTCCACCCACAGACTGCTGGGACTGCCCAACTCATGCGTCATTTTGTTGGGCTATCGATACCCCCAAGCCTCAGAAGCAAAGTCTACACCTCCCAACATGCTGCTGCCAGCTCTCTTTGTACCTTGTCAGAGGAGGGAAGCCCTGAGAACCTGCTCAGGTAAGAGAAACCAAAACCTTGAGTTATAGCACCACCTTCTGGAATACAAAAACCGGTTTTTAATTGCCAACCTGTTGAACTATAACAGCCAAAGTAAACAAATCCTTCACTAAAGAAAATGCACGCTGCTTCAAATGTGTATTACTAGCAGATGCAGAAGTGCGTCTCCTCTAACACTATGAAAAATATCAAAGCATGACTTTCGGTCTAGGTAGCAGGGTAAGTAAACATTGTGCTCGCCCCTTCCCACAACCACATCGAAATCTCAGCTACATTATAGAACAACTATCACTGAGAACCACATGAAGACAATCTGAACAGAAGTCCCATAACTAAGGATATATATAAGCCATGTCCAGATTGGTAGGGAGCAGCTGCAGAATGGGCAGGTCTCACACCCATAGTGTGGCAATTAAGAATCTGGAGGGATATCTTGGCTACCGAGGTCTCCCCTGAGGACTGAGGGGTCCCAGCCTCAGGCTGGAACACCAGTGCCAGGAAGAGGAATCCTCATAACATTTGGATGTGAAAACCAGTGGGGGATTGCATCTGGGAGACAGAGGGCTGCTGGACACCTAGGGACCGTCTTAAGAGCCCATTCATGGACTCCCACGTGAACTCACTCCTTCTGGGCTACAGCCCAGGAGCAACATATCAGAAGGTACCAGGGATGAATGGGGACTGATAATGGCTACAAGACAAGGGTTGGGAGGACAGGAATCAAGGCAGCTCTCTGGGATGTAAGTGCTGGCAGGCGCCTTTGTTCCCTTGTTGAATGCTCCTTCCATTCACCCTGCAGGCCCAGCTGGTGCCAAATGTGAGCTCTTCATTAACCTGGCTAACATTTTCTCACCTGGTATTCTCTGAGATCCCATCCTGCCCAACTTGTGCACCTGGCCCAAACCTCATCTGCTAGCAGCTCCACACAAGCTGCCTGCCTTGCTTCATGCTGTGGACTATCAAAATATCTCAAAGGCCCACAGGCCCCAAACAAGTAGTGGCTAGCCTGAGCATCCCCTGTACCTCTTCCTAAGTGGCCCCAACGCTGGCACAAGTGGCGACCCATCTTAACTGACATTATAACTCCCATAGTTGGCCACAAAGCTGGCATGAACAGCAGCCAGTCGACTTGGGACGTAACTTCAAATAATTGGCCAAAGCCTGGCACAAGTCACAGCCGACCTTAGCTCACATTGTGGTGCCTACTGAAGGGTCCTAAGCCTAGAACTAGTAGCAGCCAGCCTTGGTTTGCAGCTTAGCCTCTCCTTGTGCCCCCAAGCCCAGCATAAGCATCATTGCACTACATATCACTTTGTATCTATTACCAGATAGCCCCAAACTAGTTAAAAGCTATGGCTGATTTTGACCTGCTCTGGAGCCCCTCCAAAGAGGCTCCAGAACCAGCACACCTAGTGGGTAGCCTTTTACCAAATGAGAGCACCACTCAACAAAACACAAATGACACACTTGAGGGTAGACTAGGTTGGCACCAGAGCGCTTCCGCTGTAGTCACAGCAAGTCCTCACAGCCAGTCAGCCCGAGGGTCAGTCCACTTACCCCCACACAGAGGACACCTCCAGAGCCTGGCTCAGGTGACATGGGAGACTGCACCACCGGGCCCCCCGGAATACCTACCACCTCAGATCACTAAGACAAGACTGGGAGATAGAGTAGACCTGCCTAATACATAGAAGCAACACACACAGGATTCAGCCAAAACGAGGAGTTAAACATGTCCCCAATGAAAGAACATGACAAAGCTCCAGAAAAGAAGTAAATGAAATGCAATAAAGCAGTCAACCAGATACAGAGTTCAAAACCCTGGTTTTAAGGATACTCATGAACTTAGGAGAGGAAGAGAGGAACTCATTGAGAACTTCAACGAAGACAAAACAAAAACCAGCTAGTCAGAAATGAAGGACAATAACTGGAATGAAGAATACATTAGAGGGAATGAATAGCATATTAGATGAAGCAGATGATCAAATTAGCAATGTGAAAGACAAAGTAGTGGAAAATACACTATCAGAAAGCAAAATGATGATGATGATGATGATGGTAGTCTGGTATAACATCAGGTGTAACGTTAGCATAATAAGGGTACTAGAAGAAGAATAAAGAAATTAAGGAATTGAAAACCTATTTAAGAATAATGACTGAAAACTCTCCTAATTTGGTGAAGGAAATAGATATACAAGACCTAGAATTGCAGAGAGTCCCAAACTTTAGTAAAAATGACAATACAGACATAACAGAAATATAAGAAAATGCTATGAGCAATTATATAATTTGTAAGAAATGGATGAATTTCTAGAAACATACAGTCTTCAAAACTAACCCAGGAAGAAACACAATCTGAATAGACTGATAATTACTGACAAAATTAAATTAGTAATAAAAAATAAATAAAATTCTGGACCAGGTGGCTTCACAGGTGAGTTTTACCAAACATTCAAAAAAGAATTAATAGTCAAAACCGGTTTGGCTCAGTGGTAGAGTGTCGGTCTGCGGACTGAGGGGTTCCAGGTTCAATTCCAGTCAAGGGCATGTGCAATGCTTGTGGGCACATCCCCTGTGGGGGGGGGGGGGTGTGCAGGAGGCAGCTGGTCGATGTTTCTCTCTCATCGACGATTCTAGCTCTCTATCCCTCTCTCTTCCTCTCTGTAAAAAATCAATAAAATATATTTTTTAAAAAATTAATACCTAACCTCAAACTTTCCAAAAACTTATAAGGAGAAAAGACTCCCAGACTCATTTTATGAGAACAGCATTACCCTGA